AAACAAGCCGACAGCTACAAACGCGAACAAATGAGCAGCAGCTGGTTGTAAGAAGGTCGGAGGTAGCAAACCAGACGCGTCTTCAAATTCAAAGCTGTTGAAATTTTGGGCCGAGATGACGATCCCACATAAAGGCATATAAAGGAAGCCTGGATGTCGGCCGGCTGCTCGGTAAACCACCACATGAATGTGCCTATCATGCGTGATGTTAGAAACCTTCTTAGCAAGGGACAGTCACGGCGCAGAACAATCCGAGCCGCCAACTAGCTCCACGGCCGAGAATGAGAGTGAAACAAGCCAGGGTGATATGCAGGAGAACGCAACACAGATTACCAACACAAGTAGGGGCGAAACAAACACTAGCCCCAAAGCGGCAGATGGGGCCAACGGGTAGTCGACAGTCTAGACACAAGCGACAATGACATGCGAGCCACACACAGTGGCTTAGTTAGGATTGGCAGAATGCGCCCTAGGAAAGAGAGCCGCATATCGAGAGGACCCTGCACCGAAATAGTGATCTCTGGTGTTAGGTGGACGAGCCAAATAATCGGAACACCCATCCAACCAAAAACCCTTGCCGGCGAACGGTCTTCCTTCTTCTGACTTACTATCAGGGAATCACCTTTTTAATAGCATTATTAAAAGGTACTTCGCCCGCTGCAATCGCTGCTTTATTCACCTAAATATTCCAATCTTTCTGGAATCTATCACAGGAATTAAACGCGGCAACACCTAATTACATACCGTTTGATTTGAGAAGCTCGTAACAGGCCGAAGACGTGCAAAATTTACGGGATGCATTGTCTGTTAGGCAAACACTCTGTCCAGGGCAATTTCTTTTTAATTTCCTCACAGCGCCATCTAAATGGACAACTGTGCATCTGATTTAAATTTCTGCGCGCGTCTAAAAAGTTAAACGCAGGTCTGTATGACCTTGGGAGCGCCAGCCGATTACATGCGACCCTAACCACAACACAGATGAATGATCCACGTGATGAGCATCGATTTTTCGCCAGTTAAAATCGCCCACCATACTGGCACTAGCTCTTCAGCGCATGTAACTACTAAACAGTGCGCGGTATGAATTTCAACCGCAAAGGTTTCGTTAGCACGCTAGATGGCTACCTGGACACCCTTTTGTGGGCGACGCCGCCCATCCAGAGAGTATATTTGGTCGCGGCTTTGGCAAATGCTTTTCTCGGGATCTTTGAATGTCTCATTATAATGCGCACTCGTTTCGCGTCAACAAACACAGTCCTGTGTTATCTCACCTCGGCTCTAGTCGCGCTGTCACAAGTAATGATGGAAATTCACAATAACTTCCCCAGCCCCAGTTTTGCCGAGGTCTTTAGCCTCATATTTCTTATGAACACGTTCTACCTGATAATCTGTCTGGCATTCTCTTCGAAACGACACTCGGCTTTGATCGCTGCGGTCTTTTTGGCCATGTTCTGCACCATGATGTACGCTATTCAGGCCGGCCTATACACTGTCCCAAACAAGGAGGCGTTTCTTCACGTCATACAATTTTGCACTACGGTGGCCAACAACTTTGTGCCGTTTGACCCACTACTGGCATCACTGAGCGAGGGTCACAGGAACTTCCCTTCCCAGTGGTTTCCACTGTTGACGGGCTTAGTTTACTGTCTTACCGGAGGACTGTACAGACATGCACGCAAGGACAGTCTCATGGCGCCGGCAGACGCTCTCGGAATAGCTGTGCATTTGTTCGGAATCGCGGTTGAACTGCAACATTGTATGTTTCACTAGAAGACCCATCATTGGTAGCCACGCCTCCAGGTATGCAGGAAAGGTTGGATGTTCAACGCAATCAAAATGGCAACGGCCGCATTGCATCATAAAGCACCTCGGAGTATTGGTATTCGTTAAATCTTTCAAAATAAACAAAAATGTTGTTGGTAATGGCCAAATATAGGAACTCCGGCGTCTGTTATTCAAACCCTCTTGTTTCTTGTCTATAGTGTATAGTAATCTATAAAGTTTAACAGTTAAATGTGCGGGCCAAAATCGTACCTAGCTAAGGATACTTAAGAAGATAAAAATGCCCTAGAAGGAAATTCATTTTTTTGATTTTGTGAACCAAGGAAACGAAGCACAATTTCTCCGGCTTGCAAAATAACTGATGCAAACATTTATTTCGGATTTTTGAGGAAAAAAAGTTGCATTTAAATTTATAGATTATTAATTTTTCATGTAGGTCTTCGTGCGTTTCTAGCTGATATGAACAAAAATTGGGACTTGCACAGAAGTCATGCAAAATAAATGTCAGGATAACGCGACAACCGCAAAAAATAAATTGCCAGAATAGTATTTATGACTACAATCGAGTGCCGTACAATTTAGTACTCAAATACTATTTTTCTTCTATCTTGGACACTTTTGCAACATGTGTATAACTACTTACAGTATAAACTTGTATTTGTAATGTGTGGAAACTGTATGAGGCTATTTTCCCGTAAATAAGTTTAAACAAGGTAATTCGATTCCCAAAAGCAAACCATTGTGTCCAGTTTTTGTTTGATTCAAGAGCAAACCGGCTGATGAATGGGTCCGAACCCATGGTTGACTTACAGATGATATCTGGTTGTTTCTCTTACCGCCTTTATCAGTCCGAGGCAACATTCACAAAGGTTGTGTAGGTCGTGACTTTCATGATGAATATTTTGACGCAGGAATATGTTAGTGTCTAACTGTTAACTACAGGGAAATTCCCGTTGAATTGACTAGACCCATCTCATACCGTTCATATCGGCCAAATTGCCCAGGTGTTCGTTTAAAAATTAAACATAAAATCTTAGCATGCGCTCTCATCAACGAACGTAGACTAGTTTCTTGGTGTGTCTTCGTGTCTACTAAAAAATCTACAATGCACTTAGTTGCATAAACCTTACACCGCTGAATCGCAAATCACGATCTCTGGGGTATAAGCTTCAGCTGACTGGTGTGTTTTTGAAAAGCTATTTTTAAGACAAATTTTTCTCCTGCAACCTTGTTTCATTTCCGAAAAGCACTCTGAAAGAAAAAAACGTGAGAGTTCTAACTGTGAATTTGGAAATTTTTTTTCCAGACTGTCGTGCTGCTCACCAAAATATGTTAAAAGCATGGTTGAGGAGGCAGAATTAGTCTGTACGTACTATTAATATGGGTGTTTTGTGCTTCATTCCCGGGAACCTAGGTGTGGTTCTTAGAATAAGAATTTGGACAACGTTTAGGGTTTACTCATGGAGTTCTTGTTAGGGTCAGGACACGGAAAGTGTTATCCTGCAGGGGTGGGCGGGGACAATTTGAGCATTTGCTGTCAGGAGTATATGACCGCTACATGAGAGCTCAATCATATCCTAATTCGTAATGCACACATTTGCAGGTATATGGATATTAATCAATTTACGATCTTGGACGCAAATATTCATAGGACGAAGACGTATTAATAATTTAACTTACCGAATTCTCATCTGAGGCTCAGCTTCTGATTGCGTCTCGTTTGCTGGCTTTTGGTGGCGTGCTTGCTACTTTTGCATGCGATTATGGGCCTCTGGACGAACTAGAAGGCTCCAGAAAATAAGACAATGAATCGAAAATTTGATCAATTCATTCGCTACACAATATTAAAAAATCGGATTCGACCATTCACTTCCATTTTTGACTATTTCGTTCTCTCAAACGGTTATAGATCATACATCAAACCACCCCAGTTCTTGTATGCTACAAAATATTGCAATAGTAGGCTTTTAAACTCAGACAGCTGTCTGTCCGTTTCTATAATATTTCGAATCTTATCAGTATGCCACTTTGCTGGGCGTCTTTGATTATTTGGCCTGCTAAGATCGTCCAAAGTTTCAATTTCACGCCATTTAGAGATCACTTTCCTTTATAAGGCCACGTCGAAAGACGGCATACCTTATTCGTAGCATTTAAGATGGTAATTAGATAAATGAAAATCCGCTTTGGTTCATGTAAATCACATTAAATGTCTTGGTTGATCAGTTAATTTTACTGAGAGCAATAGACTCGGGCCGTTGAGTACCCCATTTTCAACGCAATCTTGAATGCAGTGTACAGAGAAACCATACGGGTTAACAGAGTTCAGAATACGAAGCTGAAAATTTGGGCGAGTTTTTTCCAAGACGAAGTTAAATCTCTCATGGCTCCGACGAATTTTCGAACATTTATCTGTCGAGGTGTCTTTTGGGGCATTAACACGATGATGAGACCACAGTGTCTGTAGGGAGGGCATTCCGTGGTTTGACCACTCCTCCAGAGAATGACAATTTGCGCACACTTTCCACTGACTACTGATTAGTTGAAGGAGACTGGCTTATTAATTATTTATGCCTCTGTCTCCTCCGCGAACCAATGGGTGTCTTTTTAACCATAACCAGGGTTCTGCCCGCGTCCACACCCAGTAAAGGTTTTGAAAAATTTGAAACAGCACATTTAAATATAGATGGGGCCATATAGGCGGTTCACTGAACACAGGTTTTCATCTTGATTGAAGCAGTAAAAGTGCAAACGCAAAAGATATTCTAGCCGTAATTGAAAATGTACTAATAAAATAACACCAATGGTACATGCCTGGGTGCGTGTGTGTTATGCAGAAGAGATAAAGTTTATGTTTGTCCGAGCTAATGTGAGCGCCCATTTGCTGAGCTATTAGGAAATTCTGGGAACAGTAAGCGGTTAACCTGTGGAAGCTGATTGGCCTCAGCCTAAATATGCACATCAAATTTCGAAGGCAAACTTACATTGCTTGCTCTGAGTGGTGTACTCAGATGTTGCTCGGTAATTCCACAAGGGATGCCTTGTGTGGGAACAGCTCGTAATTAGGGCGTGTTTTCGCAATACGCCATGGGAAACAGCACCGGGTTTATGAGTGGTGCTGAGGTTAAATGTTAGGTTTACGTTTAGGATTAGTGGTCAGGTGAAGATTAGTCAATGAGTTTCAATACCTCCTGACCTAAAACCGTTGAGAAAGAGAGTTCGTGGCTGAGTGGTTAGGACGTTTGGCTCTGATCAAAAAGGTCGCGAGTTCGAAGTTCGGGTATGACTGACTGACGACGGCTTATGAGCCAGAAATGACCCTTTCCGTATCCCTTGTCTTTGCCGGCAAACTATCTCTTAGAGTTTGTGTTAACTGTAAGATTGGGGTGGCATTACATATAAAATCAGGGCTTCAATTCAGCCCTCATTGAATGCTCGCGAGCAGTGACAACCGTGTGAGTCGCGAGTTACTTTAGTCATTATTTACAGGCCTGCCGGAGCTGAAGCTCAGTTTGGCCAAAACAATTCGCCATTCGGGGAACGCACAGGCGAACGCGTCGTCTAACGCCAGGGACAGGGAACCAGATCACCGAGCAATCATCATGCCCAAGTCCGGCGCGGGTGATGCAGGTTCAGCAGGTCACGATCCGCACACCGGCGGCCATCCAGCCATTAGCGCACATGCGGGCAGCTATCCTCGATGCCGGTGGAATCATAACTTGCCATAGGTATGCAGTAGCATGGCGCATTTATCCCATCGACACTGCAACTCTGTGTATTAATTACCCGTTTCTGCTACAATCTCTAATGATGGATCGGCGATGGATATCAAAACGCCCGACACATAAGAGAATTGTCCCAGTGACCACATCTGCTTCTCCTCAGTTGACTGCAGGGTCATGGAAAGAAAAGAAAATTGTACTAAGGGCTACGAATCAGGTTTTTGGTTGGTGTAAATGGCCGGATTAGGGCCCGGGAATATTTATCATAACTTGCATTAGACACATGGTAAAGTTAATTATCCTGGCGTTCCTGTTCACGTATCCGGCTCAGAGAGCGTCACAAGTCGGCCATTTTAAAGTTTATGAATAGTACACGGTTATTACGCAGGAGCTAAAGACGTTCAGCACAAAGTTCTTTATTTGCAGTGCAGAGTGAGTCCATCGTGGCTTGTGCCAGAGTACTTAGTCAACTGTCTAATTTCTGCGAATACTCGCATAGATTAAGTACATGGAGCACACGACTGTTACTAGGGGGTGGGGCCGATGTGCGATCACCAACTCGCGTCGGGGTCGGCTACATACATGTGTATGTAATCTTTCATTTGCTCCTATTGAGGACGATAAATCGGCCGAACAACGAAGCGCCTGGATAAGAGCGTCCGTGAGGACATAACAGCCTGGTTAAGTAAAGACGAAAGTAGATAGATGTCGGGTTCTATTCTCGCACACCTTGTCAATATTAATCATCGGTTCGATACTAATGAAGTCTTTAAGGTTGTCTACCGGACAGCAGCTAACCTTTTCAAAGGTCAAAGGCAACGGGCGCTTGGAACGGTCGAAGCAGTGGCTAAAGGGCTAGCGCATCCATTACTGTACTGTCAGAAGACGCTAACAAAAACACGCTTAATTTCGTGGCCGACTCCGACGCCAGGTGGCGATGGCACATCGCCTTCACTTAATAGTGACAGTTGTATGCTTCGTGCAAATGACAGTAATTAGCACTCCATGTGCCTGACCCCTGACCAATGCCCACAACCTAACCCACTTTCCTCTCCTCCTGCCCACCCAGCACAGGGACCTCTTCACGCCGATCTCACCATGCGAGCGGCGTGAAAATGATGAGTTATAATTGAAATAAACTCATTAACACTGTAAAACTCTACAATTTCATTATCACTGCAAACGTACTGGCCTGATGAACAG